ATAGCGTAGAACAAGGCAGTCCAGTCACCCCCCGCTACCAGTGACACACTAGACCCTCTTAGTGGGTCCCGGCCCTTTCTGCCTGGGGGGAGCGCTGGGACATTCCCCACCTGCCCGCATTGCACCTCAAGAGCAAGCTGCAAGTGCTACCTCTTTTCGTTACTTTTGCTTCGATACTTCAACCCAAACCCGTAAGACGCGCGCCGAACAACTGCTCATATTTAATCTTATTCTACCTTACCCAACTTCAATCTTAACTCTACCATTTCAGTGAAGCCGTCGTTGGTTATACAAATTCAATACCCCATTTTGGCCTATGAATAGCCATTAGAAGCTATGGCGGACCAGTCCATTATCCGCATCACTAAGGTACGCACGCTATGGCGTCTCACATATTGGAGGGGCAATGAGGCTGACGAGACTCCTGTTCACCACAGGAAATCGGTGAGCTCCAGAAGAGTTCAGACCTTTGTAAGACAAGTCCTTCTCCGGCATACGTATTCCTGTCCCGATCTAATTTTTTTTTTTTTAATCGGCAGCTCTCGCTGTGGCGTTTCGTGATCGCGATGTTCGAAGTGTCAAGGCCCTGATCATCGGTCCTCACGAGACCCCCTACGAATTTGGATTCTTCGAGGTCGGTTCCCCCTATAAATATATGGTCCTTTTCTATAGATACTGATATTACCCAGTTCTCGGTGAAATTTAACAAAGGTTAGTTCTTAACGTCATTTCCCCCCGGCTTAGATCGCTAGCTAATTAATGGTATTCACAAGACTACCCCCGGAAGTCGCCTGCCGTCACGGGAACAACTACCAACAGCGGACGATGTCGATTCAATCCGAATATCTATGCTTCAGGGAAAGTGTGCCTGTAAGCAAAACAAATACCATTGAACGGCTGTGAAGTGTGCTCTGCTAATCAAGATACCAGGTCAATTCTCGGGTATATAATCCTCCCTTATATATATCCTTCGCCGACGAACCTAATCCGATTCTAGTACATGGCGAGGAGAGCGAGGAGAAGAGTGGTCCGCCGCTCAGGGTCTAGAGTCCATCCTACTTTCAATACAGAGTCTCATGTCAGCGAATCCTTACGAGAATGAACCGGGCTTCGAGGATGCGAACGAATCCCACGACAAGAAGAACCAGAAGGAATATATCGCAAAGGTAAGTCCCGTCGAAATATGTATACTTTTAGGATATTCTAATAGCGAATTCTATAGATCCGCCACGAAACATTACGCATCTCTGTGATCCAAAGACTGGAAGAATACTTGGGAATCACAGGTAGCTGCCTCACACCAGCATCTACAATGGAACGAGAAGAGTACGGCGGCGATGCGGACGAAGATATGGAGATTGACGATGCGAGCGTTCCCTGGGAGCCATTTAAGGACCTTTGCAAGCGTCGCTTCCTCTGGTACTACGACTCGTACCTCGAGACCATTACCAAAGCAAAAAAAGAGGTCAAGGACGATCAGCCGTTCGCACGCATGCCTTTTGAAGGGGCGTCTAATTCTATGGATGGGAAGTTCAACTATACTGAACTCGAAAAAAGAATACGCCGGATCAAGGCTGCTTTAGATGCGGAGTCCGAAAGGTGGGCATCAGAAGGGGCATCCCCTAAGATGAAGGATACTACCGTTGCCGTTAACCTCTCACGACAGTTCGAACAGATCAAAGAATCCTTTAAGCGCAGTGACGTTCCCCACAGCGTCGAGCTAGTAGATGGAAACCCCTTTGTGTGGAACCTCACCTACTTCGGACGACCTATGACGAATTTAGATGGGGGTATGTTTCGAATCAAGCTCAACTTTAGTCCCCGCTTCCCTGAAGAACAGCCGAGAATCAAATTCTTGACGCCTATGTTCCACCATCGGATTGCAGCAGATGGTACACCGTGCTACTTCCCGAATCCTAGCCGCCGTGAAGATATCAAGCAGCACATAGAAGCAATCATCGAGGCTTTGGAAGAGGAACAACCCCCCTACGATCCAAGAACATTAGTTCATCCCGAGGCTCATAAGCTTTACTGGGGTAGTGCCGACCAGAGGAAGTTATACAATAGACAGTTGCGCAGATCGGTGCAAAGAAGCATGGAAGACTTCTAGCCCTCCCATGAGTAACGACTACCCCGGATAGCATATGAATAGCTTCCCCGGTTGTATCAGAAGACTACCCAGAGTCGGAGGCCATCAACCTCCGTTGGGCATGGCGCGGGTGTTTAAGGGAGTTCTTAGCAACACGTCTATTCCTTGACGTTCCAGATAGGAACGTGAATGTACTCTCAACGATTGCAGGTCTCGGGGCTTAAGAATAGGTACGCCGCCGCCGAGATGGACGGCTTCTAGACTAGGATTGATACCTCTTTTGCTTTTGCGAGCTACTTGATAAACATGATGAATTCAATGCAAATGCCGCTATACGTTTCCAACGATGTATGCTGACGTTTACTAATTCAATACGTAAAACGATTAGAAATTGATGAGATCATGTTATTCCGAAATTTGCTATATAACAATCTTCTAACCATTCTATTATGGCCCCCGATGCAATATCCATGACCCCTGGTAGTATTGATATTTATTGTTTAAAATAAAATAGAGCAACCCCTGTTCATGTTGGATTCCCAAAAGCGCATACCGTTCTAAACGCAATGCTAATAACTATTCATAATATACATAAATTCGTCATCGGCCGTGACTTTATAGTCGACTAGCCAACTATGTGTTTCTAGCCTCTTACCCCTCCCTCCCTCGGACCATCATCGCTTAGGCCCCTTAGGCTTCCGCTCGATACGATCCTTGCCCGGCGCATACGGCGCCGCGACCCCGACTAGCTTCTCCTGCCGCCCGGGCTGTTCGCCCTTGAACTCGTACCGGCCGTCGGGTCCGACGGCGGCTGGGACGCCTTGCGCGGGCCGCGAGATCTGCTCGCTGTGCAGCTTGTCGAGGGATTCGCCGACGACGGCGTACTGCGCCCAGTTGATGGGCGGGCAGCGCACTACGTTTTGCGGCTTGGGGAGTCTGGTCCAGGGGCGGGATTGGGGGTTGGGTTGGGGTTGGTGGTGGTGAGGGGGCTCTGGTTCTGGCTCTGGGGCGTTGGCGTTGGCGTTGGCGTCGGGGTCGGGGTCGCTCTTGATTTCTGAGTGCGGGGCTACTAAGCTGTCGGTGAGCGTCCTGTTGCCGCTTGAGCTGGCGTATGAAGTTGTGGAGGGTGCGGGATGTCCGGCAGCAGCAGAACTACTCTGTGTATCTTCCATCTCGCCGTCATCCTCCTCCTCTTCGTCATCATCATCATCGTCGTCGTCATCGTCATACGCAGCACTACTACTACCGCCATACAGCGCGTCGCCTTCCATCCCCACGCGCCCCGTCGTCAAGTCGTGCACGAAAGCTTCAGGCTCGGCGAGCGCGGCGGTCTTGACCCGGCTTAGGTGCGCCATGTCGGCGGCGGCCTTGCGGCGCTGCAGCTGCAGGATGGAGATGGCGGATTTGAGGGCTAGGACGTCTGGATTGCTGTCGAAGTCGATGGGCTCCGGCGGCGGCGGCGCTATCCCTACTTGATCCTGCTGCGAGGTGTGCGTGTACGTCGGCCGTGGCGGGAGCGCGACTGGGTTTAGAGGTGGTGTGATGGGGCTGTAGGTCGGTCTTGGTGGCGAGGAGGGGCGCGCTGGGTCTTGGGTGTTTTCGCTCGTGCTTGGGTTCGCGTTCGCGCTCGCGGTGGGAGTTTGCCTGGGGGGTTGCGTGGGTGCGCGGGCGGCGCTGCTTGTGTTCAGCGTGAGACCCGGCATCGCGGCTCGGGCTCGGGGGCGTTGTGCGTCCAGGTTGGGTGGGATTGCGTTGCGCCGCTTTGTGTACCTTGGGTATAGAATTGATTGATTTGCGTAGTCGTGGGTATAGGCAGAAAGAAAGAAAGAAAGTGGTGGCGGTTGTTTTTAATTCCTTATCTTGTGTGTATAGAACAGTGAATTAGTCCGGGATGGTAGGTTGTATGTAGTGTATGAGTTGAAGGCGCATAAGCTTGGGGGTCGGTGTTGCGGCGTTAGATAGAGTGGTCCAGGCTAGAGGGCAAGTGGGGCGGGGCTGTCAATGTGTAAGACTACCTGAGATGTAAGACCCAATGAGAAGTGCAGAAAGTGAAGCGATGGACCCAGTTAAACAAGGGACTCGGTTCATTATCCGTGTGCAGCGGCAGGTCTGGGATCCCCGGTCACGGCTGTACCCTGCAGATCTTAGTTACTCGAATATTTGAGATGACGTCTCATTTGTGACTTTAAGTAAAACATACAAGCTAGAAAGCCATTTCTTGCCAAAACAATATACCTTAGGTAAGGTTGATAGAGCACCAAGTGAGTATTTATCGTACTTTATATAGCTATCTTAGGTACATTAGGTGTTATTCACCATAATATTGCGGCGCTCACAAATGACACTGTAAGAAATGCTTGTCATTTTAGTTACCCATCACATATCACCATCAGAATTCAATATGATAGATATATGGCGTGGCGTAGTCTAAGCCTATATAATATTACCTAGTCTATATACCATATGCAAACGGGATTTATGTAAGTTACCGAGAATAATAAAACAGTTTTCTTGTTTAACCTATATCCTATCTCAATGCTTCCTATGGTTTAAAGCCTCGTACGTATACCTATGTTTGCGTCCAAACAAAGGCAGGCAAGGATGAGACTGCACGAAATTAGGTACCTAATCCAAGTATCTCAAATAGGTATATACGGCAAGCTCAACTATGTGCTGATAATAATAATAACTGGTCTTAACTACCCGCATAGTTTAGTAGCGCGCCTACCTTTAGTGTAGTCCCATACATATTATGATATCTTACATAAGGTAGTAAGGTAACTTCGAGTTTGGGGTATATACCTACCTATAACATTAAATCGTCCCATTAACTCGTTCCTCCTTCCGTCTACTTGGTTCCTTTTTTCTTTTTAGATTTATCATCACACGTTATCCGAATACAATCTCGAATAATCATCTTAGGTACTCGGCCGAGATTTCAATCAGAGGGTTTAACACTCTCTTTCTACTACTGTCTTTACTTGTAACAGAATCGATCCGTCCAAGAGTGAGGTTAGTCTATCCACTCCTCACTATCTGAAGTATTTAGAGGCCAATTCTTAACTTAGGTCAATTGCTCCACGGGTTGCCATGCTTATTTCTAACCCGCAAGGCCATTAAGCAATCTTTTCGTTTATCATATGATCAACTCTCAAGAACCCTATCCCTTTTAATATTGTCTTCCAACGTACAATGACAGGGCTAGTTGGACACGTTCGGAAGCCTAAGCCACCAATTACCCTAGGATCACCGCATGAGGATGATGCTACACCAACAGTGACACCCATAACACCACAACATTTCAACCCACCTGTCTTGCGTAATTTCTCCTATCCGTTTCACGTCGGAAGCCTGAGGCAGCCGCCAATATTTCCATCGTTACCAATAGCTCAGCAGACAGCCTGGGATCAGTTGGGTGAACTTTGCAATTTCTCTCCTGATAATATTTCCAGAGCACGTGAAGCGAAAACCCTTGGGCTCGATGATCCTTTTTCCTTCAGGTTTGAGACGGAATCTTACTCTCAATTAGATGACGAGGACAGTGACGGAAACCAAGAATTCGGTATCGGCGTATCGTCCGAGCAACTTGACCAAGAGTCACTATCACAAGAAGATCCCGTGCCAAAAAAGAGGCTTCGCCGAAGCACATTACTAAGTTTAGCTTCATCTCAAGCCCGGGATTCTTCAGACCTTTAGAAGAGTGCTGAGAAAGGTGGGCTGAAAGATAAAGCTTTAAAGTTGACCAGGGGCCAGTCATTAGGAAATCGCATCTTTCCTCAGACATCCATTATCACATCCCGTCTTAAACGGAACTCATCCGGCCAACATAAGACCACTGCATCGCTGGACACATCTACACTTATGGGTCTGCCTTCCAGTGGCCCTGATCGACCCGCATCAAGTTCAGGAGTCTCACTCATCGATACCACAGTTAAGTTACCAAACATAACCACAAGATATGTGCATTCACCAGTAGTGGGCTCGCAAGGAAACGCATCAATGGGGCAAGAGGAAGGAACACTAGTATCGCAAGTCACAGGAGCAATGGAATCTCTTGGAATGGGCCCTACTTACTATAAGAAATCCTCGCACGATCATAGCGAAGTGAATCGTAATACTCTGGAGAATGCTGGAAACAGAAAAAGCAATGATCCGCCAGCTGAATTAGCTAAACAGAAGAAGAATGGTAAACGCCGCTGGATGTCTCAACTCAAGAGCTGGGTTACCGTTTCGGAACCGTCGGCTCAGGCCTTGAAACAGTACAAGAAGGAAACCTACGACAAGGCTCATCTCTCTCTTGATGACCCTAAAGCGAGCGCTAAGCTTCACTTACCAACCGGTACCCTTCCACCGAATGCGATTAAGCCAGCCGGCTCGGGATCTGATCCCGAGGAGATGTTTTTGAAACGGGCAGAACAACGGAAAAGGATGAGACGTTCGGGCACCGGGTCTTATGGAACTCACCAAGGCTCGAAATCGAGCTCTAGTCGCTATTCGGCTTCCAGTAGCATTGCCTTTGGCGCTGCGAAAGAGTTTCCACAGTAGTAACCAACTAAACAAACTCTATACCGAACGATACGCGCGGGTTAAACGACGTGTTACGATTAGTTGATTACTGCAATACTTTACGGCGTCTAGTTCACTGTTTAGTTGTTTTTATATTCGAGCCTACGAGTGCCCAGGTATGCGATCTTTGCAGCTGAAATTTCAAATTCATCCTTTTGCGTGGGAGTTAGCTAGAATCTTGGTGGAATAAGTACAGATCAGACAAATTAAACAGACAAGTTATTGGTGTTATTGAGCACTGAGTCTCTAATCTCAATTTCCAATTGACTATTTCCCGAATATTCTTTACTCTAAGCGCTACCAACTTCCTGATTACCTGGGTGGGTATACACTCGCCTGTCTACGCTCTTATTATTCCCTTGTTGGTGTATATACGAAATGATAGCGAATAGCTATATATAGGTAGTATGGCAATGGCCTAGGGTAACTAAGCTAATGCCACCTATTTCAACGCTTTCTGCTTTCTTTTAGCTAAATAGGCTCTCAAAGGTATTAACCAGCTCGCTCCCAGAACGAGGAGTAAAAGTGGCACAGCAACCGCAAAGTATAGCCAAAAACCACTGCTCCCCGGAAAGACGCTCTCGGACATGCTAAATATACCAGTGACAAAAGAAAGGGGGACGAATACGAGAGCGAGATACGTCAGCTGTTTTACGTGCGAAGCCTCATCCATCGACCGACGCATATCGACAAGCTGAACCATGGCCATCGTAACTGGAATTATCGCCTCTAGGGACCTACTATGGTGTTCAATAGCGGTTACCAGGTGTTGAATGTCCTTGATTAACCAGGCTCCTGCATTCGCCCCGGGTGTCTCGAGCAGCTGTTCCTCGGCGCTCCAGTGCTCGACGAAATTGTGCATGGCGAGCAATTTCTGTAGGGTCTGAAATGCTCGCCGCCGCCATATTTGCAAGTCGTTGATGTCGTCGCCCCGGAGGGCGAGGTCTAGGTCCTTTAAGGAGTACTCGTAGTGCTTGACGTATCTATGCATTACGGCTGAGTAAACTAAGAACTCCTGCAGAGCGAAACGCAATGGGTTCGAACAGAGTGAGATCATACTTGGCTTCTCTACGCTGAATGTGTTGGTGCGTATAATAGAAGCTGTGAGACGGTCGAAATTCGACGGTGGTGGTTTTTCGTATGTTTGCAACGACAGCTGAGCTGTTGACGAACCTGCAAAGCCTGTTCCAGGCTTTACAGAGCCATGCAAAGGTGTCTGACGCGCCACGAATATAGGTGTATGATACACAGTGCTCGTTTGCTGGATGGCATCTGCGGTGGTCGAGTCTACGATAATCAAACCTTTGGGATTCAATGATTAGGTGTCACATTGATACTCGAAGAAGGGATCGCTTTTACGCTTACAGATCCAGAACCCAGAGTCAAAGCGTTTTCGAAGGACGGAAGTGCATGTACGAGCTAAGGCAACATTGACTCCTTTCAAGGGAGGCAATCTCTTGACAGCCCGCGGCACGCTGGCTGACGTGACGAGAGGAACATTGTCAGGTGGGCTGGAATAGTGTTCAAGTTTTACCACGCGCTGGTAATGGATATGACAAAATTCTTGTGTCGCGGACTCGGAAGGTAAAGTAGTTGCCCATAACGGTAATGGATGTCGTTCGACGGACCTGTAATCTGTTCCAAAGTAGCCTGCGAAGAACACCGGATCGATGAAGAGGGCTTCTCCTAGGTCCCGGATGTGACAGGGCTGGATGTCTTCTACTATTAAGGTGCACCCGAATATATCTCCATCTATCATCCCGGCGGCGACATTGATCCTGGAGATAAAATCTCGTAGGCTAGGGTGATCAAGGAGTGGTAGTTTTTGTACTTTAGAGTCTTTTGCATGTTCGATAAGCTTAATCCGGGTTTGTCTTCGAGATATCTCGGGGGTATCCTGAGAAAGAAATTGTAATAACGGCTGTAGGCCTGGGCTGGTCTTAACCTCGGTTTGTACTCGTGTGATGTAAGACATTGGCTCTAAGCAAGAAGTCAGAAGAGAAGTATAGAAGGGTATATAGAAGGGTACTATGACGGTTATCTAAGACTCAACAATATATTTCGCAAGGCTCCGATGGATAAGCGGAATTGCTGACCACCTATACGATTGATATGCGAGTGCCACGTCACATCGTCTGCACTTGGGCTACATAATTAAATGCAAAGGCTCTATACTATCCCCCACCAGTTGTGCCATAATCCTCATCTAACAGCAACGAACATGGCGGGCGCTCAGGATGAAGCATCTTCGGTCATTGATACTTTCGTGAGGGGCTGGCCAGAAGAAATAGAGAAATACGAGAAGCTCTCCAAATGTGCCGAAGCAATCTGCACAAAGAAGCTAGAGATAAATAGAATTCGTCACACTATTAAGAGCCGCCCGAAGGCGCAGAAGAACCTCGAAGATTCGATTAGGAGAAGGCAAAAACGAAGACCCGAACCGTACAAGAATCGTGATGAAATCAAGCATGATATGATCGATCTTGCTGGGGTCCGCATCGCGCTTACATTCCCCAACGACAAGGATAAAGTGCGTAAAATAATCCAGGAAACCTTCGATCCGTATCTCAATCCATGGGACGACATTTCCTGCCCGGATTTGGAAAGGAGTGTCATCGATCGGAGCGGCATCAAGAGAAATCGTGGAAACGGAAGTGATGAAGAATGGCCTCTGGGCCTGAAGTCACTTCACTTACGCTGTAAACTAAAGGAAAGCGACGAGCAGTTCTCGGAATATAAAGGTCTCGCTGTTGAAATCCAAGTTGGAACCGGCTTCATGTATGCTTGGGAAGATGTCTATCATGATATCGTATACAAGCCATACTTCGGCCGCATCACCCCGGAGGAAGAACGATTTATCGAAATCCTCAACGGGCTGGCACACACCGGGGAGCTGGCGCTCAAACAGCTAAGCGCATCGCTCACTCTACGGACAGAGCTAGAAAATAAGCCGTTCAAGAGTCTTAACCATTTTAAGGAATGGCTGCGCAAGGCTCTTTTGTTAGAAGACGGTGTCGGTCTAGACAGCCGGTTCTACAATACCAGATGTCTTTACCATGTGCTACCGTTGCTCAACCTCAATATGCCGTCTGATTTATGGCCGGTGATCGTCTCCTCTCGAGATGATATCGTCCGCTCAAGAGATATCCTTAACATGTTGTCCTACGGGCGCGATATTTGGTGGGATTCGAATCCGATAACCAACATGAATACTCGCCAGGAAGTCTTGCTCCTGGTAATGATGCACGTTAATGCTCGGGGTCTCATTTATCGCCGCTACCGTATTAATCCATATCCGGTAGACTTGATGCGGCGCGACGTCTCTGCCTTCTTCTTGCAAGTTTTTGGAACGCACGGGCGAGTTAACCATAGCTTAGCGAGCGAGACTGTTATATCGTCTACTGAGCTCTTCGACTGTTGGCGGCGGAGGCTTGACTTGAGTCTGTGGGCCATGCCGATGGAACGCATGTCTTTTGTCCTGCTATATGAACTAGCATTTGAAATTGCTTGTCGGGGCAGGATATTCTATGATCCTGATCATACGCCTCCCCACGTGTTCAACGGTGCCAATCGGAGTGATATAAACCAGATTTGGGAGTTTTTTAATGCTGGGTGCGCAAACATGATCCGTGGACTGAAGTTAGAAGATGAGAAAGAAGATGAGAAAACAGGGTGGTATCGGTTTGACTGGGACAAACTTTTGGAATTGAACGACAGCCACCCCGTTTTTGATTACGATGTCCTTCAAAGCTTCGACTCTCTCTGTTTAATGATTTCTGTCATTAATAGCGAAAGTCTGTCACATTCTGACATTGATCTCGAAAGCCTGTTGTTGATGTAACAAGCTTAGGTACTTAAAGCATACGTAGAGGTATCGATTTAAGATGTGAAGTTACAATGAAGAAGTGATGAGAAAATATAAAATAATAGACTGACGCATATAAGATGACTAAGGTAAAAGTAGGTATGTAAGTGATCCGTACCTTACCGTCTTGGGGGGGGTTTACTAAACGGTATATATTCAGCTCAATATTTTGAGCCATACATATACCGCTTAGTATAATAAGGGCTTATATTTATTTACGTATCCCTACTTTAACGACTCATTTAATTGAATGGTATATATACGGCTCCCCCGCCGCACGTGCCAATCTTTTGAAACGTATATGGGTTTGAGCCATATCTATACCGCTTAATTCAATGAGCGGTATAGATACCGCTCAATCAGAATGAGCCGTTCGAAAAATTGAGCCGTTCGAAAAATTGAACCGCTCAGAGATTTGAACCGTCCAATCAAATGAGCCGTATACGTACAGCTCAATACCACGTACAGCTCAATACCACGTACAGCTCAATACCACGTACAGCTTATTACCTACACGGGTAATATAAAATTCGATTGAGTCTACTAATCAATCAAATCTAATCAATTAAGTCTAATCAGTCAAGTCTAGTCAATTGACTTTAATCAATTGAATCCAGTCAGTATGTGGCCTTGTATGTGGTCTATGTGTGGTGTGGGTGGTGTGTGCGCACCTGCCTTATTATGTGCATATATATCACATTAAGAATACCATGTACGTGCGCGCGTAACGTGACTGCTTATGTCTATTGGTCTATTTGAATGATGTCTGTAACTTAACCAATTAAAAATAATTAAATCTTGTGACTTGAACCTCGTAGTAATAGCTGTAACATAAGTAAAAATAAATATGCGACAAGTAAAAAATGAAAGTACAGCACCATACAATTAGTATGGTGCTGTACCTTCCTTTTGCCGCATATGCCTATATACCATATGAGCCGCTCGAAATTTTGAGCCGTTCAGACTTTTTGAGCGGCTCAGTCATAATGAGCCGTAGTAATACGGCTCAATCTGATTTGAGCGTCTTTATTATATAAGCGGCTTAATTTAGCTTAGCGGCTCTTATTTTAGAACGTTTAAACATTTTTGAACTGCTCAATTAGGCTTAACGTACAAAAATTTATAACTAGAACCTTTCCCTTCACGAATCGGAGCGGTTCATTTTTTTGAACAGTATATATACGGTATATATACCGTTTAGTAACCCCCCCCCTATACGCTAAGGTACCTACCTAGGTACATACATACATGGCAGGCCCTGGCCAAAATAAATGAGCCACACCCACCAGCCACACATCCCACTTACAGACTCAACACCACTGAGTATAATCGTTGAATACACTACCTACCTGACTATAAGACAATGACAGGTAGAAGCAATGCATTTTAAACGTTTTAATATGCAATCCTATCTCCTCTAGCCAATATAACATCATCCCACCTATCTGGCATTGAATCCCAGTCTTTATTGGTGCGTTTATCGCTTAGATTCCAATAGCCCTTTTAAGGGTATCGTTGATTTGGGGTAACTTTATATCGCAATTACAACGTAACCAATCAATTTGAAATAAAATAAAAAATAGTATAAGAATCGCCTCCTTTTGCTCTATCTATCTATATAAGTTTTAAACGCTATCTACTATGACGTTGTGTGTAGAATCATATATTAAATCATCGTGTTTAGTTGAAATTAGGTGGGCTTTAATGGTGTGGCTCATTTATTTTGGCCAGGGCCTGCATGGATATCGAATTATGCATGTCCCAAGGTAATGAGGTAATGAGCGAAAGCGATTGGACAATTGAATGTCGCGATCTTAGATGCAATTATCATAGGCCCGGTGACCAGAATTGATTTGAAGCTATCCCAATTCGCCTCGATGCTAGTCCGTACTTTCAGACTTTTGCGGCGAAAGCAACTCCTTGTCCACCAAAGCTTGATCTTGAATGTGGGGTTAATCGAAATTTATGGGATAGTCATGACGTATATATAACGTGAGCCGGGGCAGATATTCCCTGTGGTTAGCTGGTGTACATATGGGAATGGGTGTATCCCTTTGTTTCTCTGTTATAATGAACCATGTATGCCGTATTGCAAATTTATTCAACTATTATTAATATAACTAATACCTATACTTACTGACCTACTTACTACCCTGCGCGTAACTCTTGTTACACGCTGCTGATATATATTATATCCTACGCACAAGTATTCAGCGTTGCGCCGAGAGCGCTCAAGCTGCAGGATGAATAAACTCTGGGGCAGGGCCCAGGACGACAGTCCGCGGGACTCGATGGATCAGGAACGAGAAAATGCGCCGAGCGAGCATACTCGTTTGCTGCCGAATAGAGTCGACAGCACGAGTTACTTGAGTCCGGATGATCCAGCGGTAGGCAATATTCCAATTCTTCCGTGTACACCTAATACTTATATGCTACTAGGTTTCGCCGTACAACTTATGGAGTGTGCGGATTGTCAGGTACCTTACCGTCCTTTTCGCCATTCTCACCTTCGCATGGTGGATCGTTCTACTCGTCTCGACCTTCGTTACGCCTCCAGGTCTTCATACGCGGGGATCGGGTTTCTTCGCTTTTGGTTATACTAGTTTAACGCTGGCGAACCTACTATTCACCCTCATGTTTTTCGCTACCCCGTCGAAACCCGTTCGAATATTGAGTATAGTTTTGGGAGTGTTGTTGTTAGTCAATGCCGTCTTGTTGCTGTCCATAGAGAAGACAAGACATGAAGAGGGTTGGGTAGGAATGGTCAGCGTACTATGTAAGTCCATACCCTCCCGAGAATACGAGGTTCAAGACTAACGACATAATCTAGGGGCGTTTCTTATGGCCCTCTGGACCCTACTCACCGATCGCTTGGTTGAATGGGGTAAAAATGAAGAGGAAGAACGGCTGACTGGCCGGGCTGAGACGCGTCGCACTCTAACCGAGTGGATTGCTGTTCTGTTGTCCACTATTGTCATGGTCATACTTGGCCTTGCCGTCCTTCTAATAACCTGTACTCTTATCCTCCGGGGTCTTGATGCTGGGCTAGCACCGCCAGGAGAGTTGTTCTGGGTAGATGGAGACAAATACATGATGCATGTCTACTGCCATGGGAATAAGACCAACTCGGAGAGTAATAAGTTGCCAACCGTTTTGCTAGAAGGAGGGGAAGGCCCGGTCGAAGACGGCCTATGGCAGTTTGCTGAAAATGCAGTCAACAACGGTTCCATCCGTCGATACTGTTTCGTTGACCGTCCCGGATTTGCTTGGGTGAGTAGGTGGTGGCCGATGATTACTATCTGTTTACTGACACACAATAGAGTGATACCGCACCTTCGCCTCTGTCTGCTGGAATGGCGGCCGAGGCTGTTAGTGAAGCTCTGGCTAAGGCTGGAGAAGATGGTCCTTGGGGTAAGTCTTTATTCGAGAATATATTCCATGACTGCCACTAATACGTTTGGTAGTCCTCGCGAGTGCTGGTATTGGTTCCGTATATTCACGCATCTTCTCTGCTCGACATGGTGGCGACATCAAAGGACTGCTTTTCATCGATCCGTTGCACGAAGACGACCTTGACCGTGTAGGTTCGCCTAGCCGAGGATTCTTACTCTGGTTACGGGGTATAATCTCGCCTCTTGGTCTTGATCGCATTCCGGGAGCTCTTTTCAAAGGCCGAACGAAGGAAGACCGCGTATGGGGGCAATCCGCATACCAGTCGGGGAAATTTATATTTGCGAAGTTGCAAGAAAACCTTGTAGCCGATACGTTGTCGAAACGTGATCTGGCTAGCAGCACGACAATTCAAAACCCGGACGTCCCGTTGAGTGTGATTAGCTCTGGTGAGATGATCCGCAAAGATAGTGAGTGGGAAAGTAAGCAGAGGGATATCAGCCATGTCACGCACAAGTTGAAGCACTGGGATATCGTTAATAGGGCGCCGCATCGAGTTTGGGAGACGATCGAGGGGCGCTATATTATTGAAAAAAGATTGAAGGAGTTGGTGAATGCCGCATAGATTGATGCGAAGGGGTATTGGAATAATTGTTTTTGATTTTGCATTTCAACGGAGCGTAGCACAAGATTGGGTATAGTTAAGCACGATAGTAATAAGGGCTTCATAGTTTATGTGAATATGTGATTGAAGCAATATTATAGTTATGTTGAGTTTCTGCTTATATCTAGAAATGAACATACATAAATGGTTTTACAGCGTTGCCTTGATGAGGAGGTTGAAGATGGAATGTGGAATAAATTGGTATCGATATCAGTAATCCGTACGGAAAGCGAAGTACCTAAAGTGGGCAGGTACATCTCTGTATGTACCTAAGGTACTTGATGTACCTAGTTCACCGCTTTCCTATCCCGTCTTTTAATTGACGTCGAGCAAATCGAAAGCGCGTTCCTCACGCGTCGGTGGGGCCTTTTTTACGTTGGACGCCTTGGACTAGGTTCAATTAATACAGCTCTATTGCAACTATTTATGGCTGTTAAGAAGCCAGCCTCTATCGCATTTTATGAGATACTCATCTTAGACTACATAGTACTTTGAGTGTTGATTGAAATACGATATGGCCAGCTTCTTCGATCTAAAGGCGCGAAAAGCAGCCGCGGCTAACGGCGCAACAACGTCCAAAGTAGAAGAGTCTAAGCAAAGCACCAGAAAGCAACCATGGGTAGAAAAATAGTATGTTCCTTTATAGGTTGAGTTATTGAAAAGAATTCAATGACAGAGGAGCTAACTTATCTTTAATAAGTCGCCCAAAAACCTTAAGCGATGTCACAGCTCAGGATCATACGGTGAACATCCTCCAGCGGACGCTTCAAGCCTCCAATGTAAGCCCATGACCTATACTTATATGAAACTAGGTAAAACATATATTTCTAATATTATCAACTCTCTAGCTTCCTCACATGCTCTTCTATGGCCCCCCCGGAACGGGTAAGACCTCCACGATCCTCGCCCTCGCAAAAGAGCTGTACGGACCCGAGATGATAAAGTCGCGTGTCCTCGAACTCAACGCTTCCGACGAACGAGGAATCTCCATCGTACGAGAGAAGGTGAAGGACTTCGCACGTATGCAATTGACGAATCCGCCCGCTGGATACAAGAAACGTTACCCTTGTCCACCCTTCAAGATCATTATTCTCGACGAGGCGGATAGTATGACTCAAGATGCCCAGAGCGCCCTTAGACGAACGATGGAAACGTATAGCAAGATCACGCGATTCTGCCTGATCTGCAACTACGTCACTAGAATTATCGATCCCCTGGCGAGTCGATGCAGTAAGTTCAGGTTCAAGAGCTTGGATCAGGGCAATGCGAAGAAACGCCTGGAGGAGATCGCTGATAAGGAAGGTGTCACAATGGAAGAGGGCGCTGTTGATGCGCTTATTAAGTGCAGCGAAGGTGATCTCAGAAAAGCGATTACATTCTTACAGAGTGCCGCGAGACTGGTTGGCGCTATTGAGAAGGGAGATGACGAAGGAGATAAGATGGACGTCGATGACGACGTTAGGATTGTCACTGTGAAGATCATAGAAGAGATTGCCGGTGTGATACCAGACCAGACTATCTCTACATTACAGAAGGCGATGCAACCCAAATCTGCTGGTGCGACCTATCGGGCCATCGCGAAGGTCGTAGAAGAGATGGTTGCGGATGGATGGAGTGCTGGACAGGTCCTTTCTCAGGTAAGACCCCTTCTCCCCTTCCCAATATTATCGGCCTACTAACGGGAATCTACAGTTATACCAAGCTGTCATCCAAGATGAGATGATCCCTGATATAGCGAAGAACAAGATAACCCTTGTCTTCTCAGAGGTGGATAAACGATTAGTGGATGGCGCTGATGAGCATCTGTCTATTCTAGACCTGGCTCTGAGAATATCAAACATACTAGCTGGAAAGAGCCAAGCTCAAGCTTTTTAAGAATTATAATGTCTAAAGACTCCCGCTTGACGGAAATGTAATACAGCACGTGGTGAATGTCATAGCATGCGGCGTTGGGTGTACAAAACGTGGATGTATTTACTATGAAGATCATCAGTGACAAGGGTTTGATTATATTTACAAGGTGATGCCCGGATAGATATTAGCTGTAGTGAAATGGTCGTGCCCTTTACTCATTTATCAACCCAAGATTCCCGTCCAGTTTCGCATAAATGCTCTGTCCCTTCGGCTTCTCCACCTTCTTCTCCCTGTTCTTCCTAACACGCGTCCCGCTGCTCCCTTCGTCCTCTCCTATCCACATATCACTCCCAGCGCCACCACCCTCCTCTCCATGGGCCTGCGCTGGCTCAGCCTCTTCCTTATTAAGCAATTTACGGACTTGGTCCAAAGCCTGCATGGCGTCTTCAGCCGCCACCTGGCCCTCCTCGACTTTCTCGAAGACGGCCTCGAGCGTGGCGATCTGCGCCGAGTGCGCTGCGGAAATCCAGGGCTCGATATGGTCCGTCACGTTGTTGGCTTTGCCGACCCCCTTCGTGACGGAGCCGAAGCTCTGCCGCGGCTTCTTCTCGGACCGCTGCTTGGCTGGGTACTTGGGTAGGAGGTGGCTTTCCTCGACTAGGTGGTCTAGGATCTTGTTGAGATCTTGTTGCTGTTTGGTAAGGGAGGCGTTGATGTGGGATTTTTCTTGGATGAGGCCTTTTTGCTCGCGCGAGATGGCTTGTAATTTCTCGAGGTATGGTGTTAGTAGGAATGCCTCGGAGGCTGCGTTGCTGGTGTTGCTATGTATAGGTTCCTCAGGTAGGAACTGTTGCGGCTGCTTTTGTTCTCGTGGCCGTTGGAGATTTAGCTGCTCTAGCTGGGCTATCGAAGTGATGATTTCCTTGCGGAGGTCGACATGCTGTTGGTATTCTCTCTGAATCTCGGCCATGTGCGCCTCGTGATCAAATTTCTCTTCTTTATGCTGCGGCTTGCTTGGCGACTCGGAACTTGGTTCGTCCTCTTCACCGCCGGCCTTGCTTAGCATGGCCTCGATCCAGTTGATGAGACTATCCTTCACGGCGTTAAGTGCCTGTAATTGCACTTCGGGCGGAAGGCGTCCGGGATCGATTGGGTTCTTAGCCTTTAATTTCTCGAAGTTTTGTTTTTCTCGTTGTGCCAATAGTTTATTGCGTAGGACTGCCGACTGGAGCCGTGCGAGTAGAGCCTTGATCTCGCGGTTTGGGGCGTCCCGGTCTTGAGTGAAACCCTCGATAAGTTCCTTGGGTAATTCGGGGAGGGGGGAGCAGCTTTTGAACATGACCTCGGGATCTAAGAAGTCTGGAGCTGCCGCGGGTTGCTGATTCAGTTCTTCGAGGTATTTGTCAACTATACTTAGTCTCTCATGTTCCTGCTCTAAAGCATTGACTTCGATCTGGAGTTGAAGAAGCTGTGCCTGTTGATCTTCTTCAGGCGGAGGTGGGAGAGCAGCATTCGCTGCATCATGCTCCTCTTGTAGCGCCTTAAAGCTGGATCGTATCTCAATATTTCTGCGAGCTGCCTCGACATACTCTCGATAGGTTCCCTGCAATGCCTCAGATGGTGTGACGGTAGTTTCTAAGTCAACCAGAGACAAGGGACTGCTGAGCTGCTCAGTCCCTAAGCTTTGAGCTAAACTATGAGCTAGGTGTCGCCTCACAGCAGTAACCTCATCACGAGGACGTATCTGGTGATTAAGAACTTCGCGAGTCTGCTCACACAGTTTCTTGTCCATGGTGTCCATGAAGACTAAGACTGAGTTGTGTTGGACTGTTGGTTATTGACGCCAGAGGGGGCTATTTTACAAGGCTGACTCGTCTACAGAGCTGATATTTATGTAGGATCTACAATAATAAGTAAATCTCAAGTGGACCTTAGATAGTATTGAGCATAAATAGCTAGATGTATCATCTATACTTTTCATACAAATGCGCAGTTCTGTTTACATACGAATTTATTTATTTCTTTAATAAGACGAAGTTACCTTAGGTACCTAACGTACGTAATTTAAGTAGTTGTACGGATAGGTACAATAGTCTAATTGACTGCCGTAACAGTTATTATTAGACATGCTCATTGGCTCAACTTTTAATCTGCGCCCCTCTCTTGCTTAAAAGACGGTATGATACGGTACAGTACGGTCGTACACTGTACGTAACACTGTCTAGAAGTTTTAGCTTAGGTACCTTCAAGCTAAAGTTATCGTAGAACGCGAAAAGATCTAACTTAGCTTCCATTCATAAATTTCCCATCGAAGGCGAATTGGCACCACTTCTTCTCACTTGAGCCCGCCGAGGAATATCGAAACTTAATATAACGAGATTATAGGACTCGAGAAAAAAAAAACCATTTATTCTGCATAGCATATTCTAAATGCTATATCTGCAGACACGCGCGGCGCCCTTGTCCATTTGATGAAATTGGACCTGCCGATAACTTGTCTTCCCGCCACTCTATAGTATTGCCGTCAACAATCAAGCTCTTCCACGCGAACTATCCCCAAGATGGCGGACCACCATCGAGATGTGTCGCAGTACAAGTACTCGGCTATGTCCAACCTGGTCCTCCAGGCGGACAGACGGTTTGTTACGCGACGAACCGACGAGGCTACTGGCGACCCCGAGTCCCTTGCAGGTCGTCTGAGAATCAACGACATGGGCTCCAGAGTCGCGCGCGATGCTGCACCCAAACAGAAAAAGGCCACAGGCTTGCAAGATATCGAAAGGGGAGACGTACAAGAAGGCAAGGATATCCTAGCCCGCGAACAAAGAAAGGGTAAAAGTGACCCGTCGCAGATGCGAGGAACCGGTATCCTCGGACAGACAGATCTTCTAGTCGAGGGCCTCAGATACCGACCGCGTATACCCGCTACTCGTGCCACTTATGACCTCATATTAAATGTTGTAAGGAGTAATTTGGGTGATGTATCCCATGAGATTGTTTTGAGTGCAGCAGACGCTGTCTTGGAATATCTTAAAGATGAGGATATGAAAGACTTCGACAAGAAAAAGGAAATCGACGACTTATTAGGTGCAACTTTAAATCCCAAGCAGTTTAACGAGTTGGTCAACCTCGGAAAGAAAATTACAGATTATGATACCCAAAATGACGATGAAGATATGGATACAGGAGCAGGTGCTGCGGAAGGTGACGAAGAACTTGACGAACGTCAGGGTGTCGCCGTTGTCTTCGATGATGAAGAGGAGGACGAAGAAGCAGCCTTGGTCAACGAAATCAGAGACGAGTCTTCAGATGATGAAGCAGTCTTTGATAAAGATGAGCAGGACTTGGTTGGTCTGGAGGAAAAGGCGACGGCTGGAGGTGCTGGAGAAGACCGAGATCATGAAGAGGCGGACTTGGCCGATGGTGAGGAAATGGTAATTGATTCTGGCCTGCCTGATACTAAACGTGGGGGGTCTTCTGGGGAAAAAAATTATATTCCTGCGCGCCAGATCGACGCCTACTGGTTACAAAGGGAGATTGGAAATATCTACACCGATGATCACATTCGCCACGAGAAGACTGCGCAAGCCTTACACATACTTTCCGGAGAACCTGATGAGCCCGGTGGGGACGAGAAACAGCTCAGAGAGATCGAAAATGAGTTGATGGAGCTCCTTGACTATGAACATCATGAGGTTGTTCAGAAGCTCATCGAGAACCGAGAAAAGATCGTATGGCTCACGCGTTTAGCGAAGGCGGAGGGTGATGAGGAAAGGGGTGTTATCGAGCGGGAGATGGCTTCTGAAGGCGTCAGATGGATCCTGGATGAGCTTCGAGGCAAAAAGCCTGGCGATGTTGCGAAGAAGATGGAGATCAAGATGGACATTGATGTGCCATCATCGTTCAGCACAGCGCCAAAGGCCGAGAGAGCGGAAGGCCAACTGGTCGGTGGACTTCAACCACGGAAGTTCATCAATCTCGAAAATCTCATATTCGACCAAGGCAACCACCTTATGACAAATCCCAAAGTTAGACTCCCCGAAGGATCGACCAAGCGGACCTTCAAAGGCTATGAGGAGATACACGTCCCTCCACCTAAGAAGCGCAGCCAGGCAGACGAAACTAATATCCCCATCACCGATATGCCCGAATGGGCACGTGTGCCTTTCAGCTCAGCTAAATCCTTGAACAAAATTCAGACCAAGTGCTACCCGACCGCCTTCGAAGACGATGGAAATATGCTTATTTGCGCACCGACTGGTAGTGGTAAAACGAACGTAGCCATGCTAACCATTCTACGGGAGCTCGGGAAGCATAGGGATCCGCAGACGGGAGATATCGACTTGGATTCCTTTAAGATCGTATACATTGCGCCTTTAAAGGCCCTAGTCCAGGAACAGGTTGGAAATTTTGGTGCACGCCTCAAACCATATGGCATTACGGTGGCCGAATTGACTGGTGATCGCCAGCTAACCAAGCAACAAATCTCCGAGACGCAGATAATTGTTACAACCCCCGAGAAGTGGGATGTCATCACACGAAAAGCCACAGATTTGACATACACCAATCTCGTGCGACTGATTATTATCGACGAGATTCACCTTCTACACGACGAACGTGGACCCGTTATCGAGAGCATCGTCAGCAGGACCATCAGAAAGACAGAGCAAACTGGGGACCCTGTTAGGCTCATCGGTTTGTCTGCTACTCTACCTAATTATAGAGACGTGGCTAGCTTCCTTCGTGTAGATCCTGTAAAGGGACTTTTCCACTTCGATGGTTCCTACAGACCGTGTCCTTTGAGGCAGGAGTTTATCGGGGTTACCGAGAAAAAGGCCATTAAACAGCTCAAGACGATGAACGATATTACGTATAATAAAGTCATTGAGCACGTTGGTACTCACCGAAATCAGATGCTCATTTTCGTCCACTCTCGAAAGGAAACTGCGAAGACGGCCAAATATATTCGAGATAAAGCCCTTGAGATGGAGACCATCAATCAAATCCTGAAGCATGATTCAGGCTCGAGGGAAGCTCTGACTGAGATTGTCAATGATATCTCGGATGCCGACTTGAAGGACCTTATCCCCTATGGATTCGGTATTCATCATGCTGG